GGCCGCGGCCGGTCTTTAATAGATAAGACGCGCGAGTTTACAACAAAGCTGAATTGCGCAAATCTTCGCGCTCCGGCAATGCCATTAGACGGCAATAAAGAGCTCCCGAGTGGAAAGAATTCGATCCCACGCACACCGAAACACGCCCGTAACATTTTCCTATTGCGTAAACACTGAAAACGCCCATGGCGGCGAGTTTTTTTGGCGAACCGCGCGTTTGGGGGATGACTTGATAGTTAGCGGGACGACACAGGAGTAAGAGACGTCTTTCGCTGAATGTTCTGTATATAATTTTGACTAGTCACGTGTAATTGTATTGACGAATAACAAACTAGCATAGAAAATAAGATCAGAATAAATAAAAACTGACTGAACAGACTCGCATTCACCAGCCTAACTACCAAGTGATCTCAGAGATTTACTTCAAACCGTAAATAATGTCCGTTTCTTTCGCACCTTGTGAAGTCTCTCTAGCCTTTGTTCTATCCTAGGAAACTACACGGAAGCATTCCCGAAACGAATCGATTCGCAATCCTTGATACGGGAAATTAAAACCAATCATCGGTTTTTTAATAACACGTTCCCATGTCCGTGGTAACGCCACGCTGCAACGTGTGAGTACCTGCATGCAGTTGTGCGAGCTGCGTCCGTCAAATTCGACGTTTATGATCACAGTAGAGAGACAGTGTAACGTTGACCTATCAGCACGGACGTTGACTTTTGAACATAACGTGTCTTATGTCTTCATTTAAATTTGACGACAGGAATATCAAATGTATATTTGTTTTTAAAGAATTCATATTTTTCTTTGTTATATTGGATCCTAACTGCAATGGGAATTATAAATGGAATTTGGTAAATATAAATATTGTGTATATGAAAATAATTAAAAATAAATGATCGTTAAACGAAATCTCCATCGATCGTTCTACAACGGTACCTTTACTCTTCAACCATGTCGTTGCTAAAAATGCCTGTAGTTACCCGTCACATCAGTCAACTCCGGTTAACCATAACAGCACAGCTTGCCATCCCCAGGCTATCGGGCATGGCTTTGTTCCATCGTACAATATGTACATACGTACTACGTATATACCTTGCCATCTGCATAAATAACGACACGGAATTCATCAACAGAACAACGGTTTAAAAGTACATTACAAATGGAGTAGCGAACCAATTAAAGCAATGAATATCGAGATTCTAATATCTGAAACTGAAGAACATCTGATGTGACGTTTCAAGGCTCGTTCAAGGCTCTGAAGCATTCCAAAACAGTTAAGAAACTTTAACCTAGCTTCATTAAATCAAAGCTAACTTCAAATCGTATAACACGCACCTGGTAGCAACCTCGAACAATTCACAGAGCACAACCAATATTTCTCCTCCCCACCGCGTTTCCAAAATTACAATTTACGCGTGATCCATCTTGTTCGCGCCATTTATTAACACGAGAAGCATCACAGTTACGGATGACAAAACGAACGCTCGCGCGACTGCAACTACGGCGTCCATCAAAAACGACGTCCGTGTAACGTCCGTTATTTAAACGCACGTGTCACTGCACTCTAATCGACGAGCCAGAACGATCGGCGAGCAACATACTAAAAAATTTCGTTGTTTCCTTTAAGTTACAGCTTTTTTGCCTGGTTGAAGAATTTCCTTCCGACGGCAGGATACGATAAGAGTGTCGAAAAAGGGGGAAAGATGTGTAGGCGAGGAAGAAATTCGACAGTCACGGTGGCGGAGCGCAGCGAGAGCAGCGTTACACACTTCACAATGCACCGTGTGGCATAACGGGGCGAGGTTTATCGCCGTGGGGAACAAAAGAAACCGGAGGAAGAAAGGACGCAAAACGGCGTTTCAGCGTTTTCAGCGTTTCTTCGCGGCGATCTCCGGCAGCGATCTAAATATTTATAATTCCCCAAAGCCTAACCCTTCCTCGGCGTTCGCGCCGCCATGAATTATTAATGTCATGCCGTGCTACCGTATGCCGGTGCACGTTGCCGTGCATTCCTGATACGTGTACTTTGTCTCCGAGATGGAAGGATGGTCAGAGCACCGTGGATCCTTCAACCAAAGGACCGTTCATCCCTCTCGTGTCGAGCACACAAAATAATTAAATAAAATCGGATTGAATTCCAATAAATAGAAAATCGATAAATCGTGATACATCAAGCTGTTCCTCCAGTGCTCAATCGTTATAACGACTAAATACAATTAAAACAAATCGTAATAAATCGAAGGATCGTTTGTTCTTCTTGTGTTCAACTTCCGAAATAAGTCGAACGAATAACAATGAAACAAAACTAAAATACATCGAAATAAATCAGAGAATTCTTTATTTCCTTGTGTCTAATGTCGAAAACAATTCAACAAAATCCAGATAAATCGTACCAAATTGAAAGATTATTCCTTTTATACTCAACGCCCAACGAAAAAAAATCAAAATAAATCGAACCGTTTGCACTACTACTTTTACATTCAAGGTTTCGCGAAACTGGATAAGGGAACGTGTTCGTGAACGCTATAAGTAAACCGCGGATGTTTGCGCGGATGCTCACATTCGCGGAACGCCTTACGAGACCCAGGATCAAAGAAAGAAATGTATGGCCAGTTAACGGGTTTATTTAGATGGCACTAAATTAAAAGTTTTATTCGTATCTACTATACACAACTTTTTTGCTTGGCCATGTTTCATACGATTGCGTGTGGTTGTTACATACGCCGCGATTCGCCGGTGAATTTTGTGGGGTCATAAATTCCATTACGTTCGTACGCGACAGTTTAACGGAACATTGATTAATGTGAAATTAATCAGGAAAGTCTATGTGAAATGGCTGAAGAATATGACAATATATAAAATGGCAATGTATAAAATGACAATGTATAATATGACAATGTATAAAATGAAAATATACAAAATACTAATATATAAAATGATAATATATAAAATGAGAATATATGAAATGGAAACATGTATATTTTGAAACTTTATAAACAACTTTAGTTCTATAACGTAACAACGTATATCTGAGAATATATGAAAATGAACCCCTCGTATTATTTAAATATTTCGTGATTTTTTCCATTTCTAATTAAACTTTGAACTAATTAAACTATTTAAACATATTGCAACGTCTCACATTTCTAATTAAACTTGAAATACAACCTGGCATAATTCCATGATTCATTCTATACTTCTTCTAAAACTGGTTCATAATTCATAAATTCTAGTTTATATAAAAATAACACTTAACAAGAGAAGTTACAAAAAATGCAAATCTTTCACGAAAACTTCATTAAGCATTCACGTGTCAAGAGTTGAAAAATTGTTCAATGCAAAAAATGAGTGTTCTATTTTTCATACAATGTATGCAAATGATATTTGATGACTTTTCCGATTGCTGTATCTTGTACGGCTCTCGACCGTGGTGATGGGGATTTGTTGCTAAAAATTCTGCTGCAGTGTTCGTAGACCTTGATGACTCATCCACGCGCTCGGTCTTCCAAGGTACAGAACAATGGTAAAAGCGCATAAAATTTGCAACCTAGTTATAAGTGCGACACGTGGATATTGCATATACCCGTGCAGCCTCGTTTATAACTCATCGGGTAGATATATCAGTTCCAGGTAGAACAAAAACAACTTAACGTTATGAAACTGTACATATAATCATATCCATACATATTCATCAACTCTTTGTGTTGCAAAGAAAATATAAATTTCATTGTGCACAGTAAATGATCTTGACTATCTTTTTAGTCCGCGTGTTTACTTCGAACGGAATTGAAATTCAAATTAACCACCGCAGAATTTTTTAAATATTTTCTTGCATATTTCATTCTAAACTTTTCGGAAGAAAATCGGCGCACGTTTTTAAGTTTCTTATTTTATCAGTAACTACTATTTTCTATTTTAATTAAAACAGATTGGCTGCAAAGCTTTCGCAGAATTCGGAAATTACTATAAATTTTCCTGCGTCAAAAATAATTCTGAATAGCATCTGATGATTATTTACAGACACCCATAAGACAGCCATAAAATAATCTAATAAAATTGCTCCCGCGAACTCGTACCCGCATAATAATTAACATTTTCTTTAAAAGAATTACAGCCCGGTGAATCACGGGACGATAACGATGCCGAGACGCACTCGTAAATTTTATTCATCTCCATCGTCGACTGATTCTCAGTTTCCTTATTTATTCACCTAGAAACTCCAGCGTTCCATAATATATAGTAACATCCGCAGGAATGTAAATTAAATTATAATTGTACTTGCCGGGAGATAAATCGTTTCAGATCCTTATCATTCCCGCTCACCATCGCCAACAAGATTAACCAGATTAACAAGTTGCGCTGATCAAGTTTTAAATCACAGATACGAATATGCCCATAATTTCTACCACTGACACTTAATACACAAAAAGACGAGCGAACAGCCGCGGGCTTTATATTCATACATATAAGTATTATCTATACATACATCGACGTACAAATATCAAAACTGATGATCATTAGCGTATACAGCAAATTTCCTTGCAATTAACCTTAAAAGATTAAGATAAACATGAAAACCCCGTTCACCGCGGACCTACTTAATGTCCGTAATCGCAGACGTTACTCCGTCACCGATAAATATTATCGACTTAAACGTAATAACGTCCGCTTTAAAGATGCCGATTATATAATTCTAATTAGTACAAATTAGTGTTATTTACAACGTAAATGAACTCACCGAAATAAAACGAGATTCATACGCGTCGTTGGAATTTCGATACCTCCTCCCCTGTTTTGTGGCGGTCCCCTCCGATCTCTCATAATTATTATTATTTTTATTAATCGGCCGTTCGGTATCTCCGTCACGCGTAATGACCGCGGCATCGCACATAGGGAATTATCGCCAGTGACCATGAGTATCTCGGCGAACCATACTGCTGCTGCTGCTGCAGTTCGTCGTGATGCAACGAGAAAATGCAATTTCTCCGATCGCATATTTATAAACTGGCCGACCGACCGATACACGCCACAACGATGGAGGGAACGTTTCGACACGACGCGTTAAGGTACGCGTACATTTGAGAGTGAAACTATTGCGAGTTGCTTCCGAGAACATATTTCGCAAGTAGAGCGACTATCTAACAACGAAAGCGTTGTCGAACTCGTTAATCCTTTACCTTATAATGTCGTGTCAGACTCGGAACAAAGGTTGCGGACTATGATTTTTCAAATACAATTTTGCTGTTGTCAATTATTGATCTTTGAAGTAGGGACTTAGAAATTGCATGGTATTCTTTTGTATTTCCAGTAAATTGTTAATAACAAGATAATTTTAATGAGCGTAATTGTATATGAAATCATAGGGCACGGGCTTGCCTACTGCAATTGATATTGCTTTCATCCTATAGCAATTGTTTATAACCCGTTAAAAATTAACTTCTTATAGTCCGAATTATGGTAGGTGATTTATACAATTTTTTAATACGGTAAATCGAAGTTAATATTTCAAGCTCAAGTTTATTTAACATTAACACAATTATATACAGATCTAAACAAAATTCTTTTACTTCGTTCTTTACATTTAATTGTCAATTATTCATAATTACGGATCTATGTGATCAATTCTGACGATTCATCACTGTGATTTTCTTATTTAGTTAGTATTAATAATGGCCGGTTATTATTATTATAAACCGATTAATTACTTGAATATATTCACAAATATAAGTATAAAAGATTAACTCGCGACTAACATATTGAAAACCTCTGTTCCAGAACAACTGGTGCGAACATTTTATTCTCAAATGGACGCGTACCTTTATTCTCGATTTGTAGTACCCGTCAACGATTGCACGCACATTGAACGGCAACGATAACACGAACAACGATATATCCACAGCCCAGTCTCACATGTAATTCACCGTCATTAAAACGCACGAAATTTGCCGAATTACGATAGTGTAACCGTCTTGGCCTGAAATTGAACCATGTCGATCGAAGCGCTTCCACGAATTCTGGGAAAATGTTTCGCGCTCGCCATTGCATTCGGGAGATTTCTCGAATTGAAATCTGCTTGATCTGATTATACCGATTGTTATTTGGAATGATTGAAAAATATTGATGAAAAATAGAATTTTGTAACGATCGCAAAATAAAATGAAGGCGAAAAATATTGAGATTGAGGATCAATGCTTTGAGAATAGGAAAATGAAAATGTATGTAAATATACGTACAGTTACAAGCATTGCAAAAACATGTGTAAAAAATGAGTGTTTCTGTGTTTGTTTGTTATTTTAGTACACGGTTATTTGTGCAGATAACCCTGTTTATCTACGTGAGAGTATGTAGTAACTATGTAACAACTGACACGTATCGCCTGCAATGGGACATGAAAACAGAATATATACAAAATTTGAATAAATGTAATGAAAATAGTTTTATCATAATGTTTCTGTAAGATTCTTATAAGATACGTTGTAAGTGAATGTGTGTATAAAGTTCCACAATTCAATAATAAGTAACTTTACATTACCAGGAAACGAGAAAGTGATAGACTAAATTTTGACACATTTTAACGATTTCACAATTACGATTATTTTATTACATTTATTCTACTTTATTGTAAGTCTTATTACTTATAGAAGAGAAAAATTGTGAGTCTTTAATGCCTTAAAATGTAAATATTGTGTTAGAGGAGATTTTCTTGCTTTCGATGATTACCATGATACGTCAGTCTTCGTCACTAATTATTTTTCATTGTTTTCAACTTACAAACGACAATGTATACTCAGTGCACTATATTCTGTGCAGACCTATCATCAAGCTGTGTGGTTTCCTCATTACATAATTGAATTATACAGTTGTGTAACTGAAAGCGCTT